TTTGTTAAAAAGAGATCTCATTTGTGCAACTGCCAGTATAGAAACTGACAGATGGTAAGACCAGTTTCCAACCTGCTTAAGTACTGGTGTAAATTATTATATTACAATTGTCTACCTTTACTATATATCTAAGTAGCATAGAGTACTATTACTGTTATATTACAATTCTTGTGTTGTTATATTTAGACCTATTTGTATGATTTATACATAAATGTATTATAATTTCAGACTTTATCAATATACTATTTTTAGAGATGATTTAACTGATAATTTCTCTAAAAATATATGTCAAGTTTTATTTATTTCAATGAAATGCCCACAAATACATAAATACCTGGGGACAATAATAACAGAACAACTCAAAATCCCAATTAAAAAATTATCACTTTTGTTAGATGTAATCTATAGACTTCAACAAATGAATCAATATAAATACAGACACACACACATAATCTAAGGGTGTATTTATTGATTTTAGAGAGAGAAAGAAACATCAATCAGTTGCCTCTCATATTTGCCCTGACAAGATGGAAACTGCAACCTGGATATGTGCCCTGACCAGGGATCAAAACTGCAAATTTTGTTGTATGGAATGGTGCTCCAACCAACTGAGCCACCCTGCCAGGGAAGGTTAACTATATTTTAAATATTGCAATCACATAAAACAAGTATTGAGATATGAAAATTACCTCACGTGAAGGTGAGAAAGCCTAAGGTTATTCTCCAAAGACATCATTGATCATGTCTGAAAATAAAAACAAAAATAAGAAAATTTTATTTTATTAACTTACTGGGGATCTACTTATAAAGATGCCATTGGTTTTATGTTGATATACATTATTTTTAGTACAGTTTACTTCTCTTAAAAAACAGAGAGGTGTAAATTCAGAGAACATCAATGTTGTTTTCAGTTCACCTCTTTCCACCACTTCAACTTTTTTTTAGCTCTCAACACTGGATAGTTTCCCCTGGGAATTCAGGTTCACCTCAGTTGCTGGGTAAGCAATGCCTTGCCATGCATTCTGCTTTCCTTTCTCTCATCCCATTACATAGGCTAAGAACTAGATCACTTTGTGAACCTGGAACCTGGCATATGTTCACCTTAATACTCTTGCTACCATGTTTGTCCCATGGGAAGAATCATTGGTGTCTATGTTCCCAGATCAAAGACTGCTGATGCAGTGAGTATTCTGACCCAGTCATGTGGGCTTAGGGTCGGCCAAGGTTTCCTGTTGGAAATCTTAGTCTGTTGACCTGCCTGAACTTTTAGTCTCCTCCACAGAGCAAGAACATAAACAGATCTTACTGTTCGGACATCTGGCATGTTTTTTCCTGCAAAATGACAATTTACCAAATATAGTCACAACTACCAGATTTCTGAAAAACAATTCTATCTAAATTTTTACCTACTGTTTTCTGTCTACCAGTAGGCTACCCCAATAAATGCCATGCTGATTGAGTTTTTCCTGTGCTCTCTGGACCCTGATCTGTAGCTGAGAGATCCTCCTGTCTCCCATCCCACACTTTCTCATTAGTCTTTGATCTTGAACCAAGTGCATGTTTCAGCCTCCATCTCCAATAAAGTCTCCTGCTGCTCTAAGGTACACATGATGCTGTTTATGTGTTACAACAGTTGTTACAAAAGGATAATTTTCATTGTAGTACTATGGAAAAAATCCAGAATGTTAATACCATACTTATATATATATTTTTTCATTTCTTTTTTTTTATTGTTAGGCTAAAGCAAAGAGGAGAAATGGCCTACCTAATGATTAGATAATCATGATAGGGTATGAAGTAAATCAGAAAACTATACAATAGCTAGGATGGAAAAAAAGAAATGCAACTTTTAAATTTATTTTCTGACACTTCGTCTGCAAACATTGTTTGCAAATGTTTTAAAGTTAATTCACTTCCTAAAACACCTTATAAATTTCATTATAGTAATAGGGTTGGAAAGAAAAAAAATATCTCCCTCACCTTCCCTAGGCACTAATTTTATACTTTTTAGGTACCACTACTGAAGAATTTCTAATTTAGCTCATCACTTCAGTGGGAATTCAGTGCACATAAGGGGCACATATGTAATTGGCAACCTAATTTTTCTGCTTTCATCAAATGGTGCAATGCCAAATCTTCATTGAACTTGCCAGTTAAATGCACTCGGGAACCAAACAGCAGCAAGCATGAGAGATGAAAATGAACAAATTGGAAAGAGTCATTAACTTTCTGTTTTCCCATCACAACAAAAATTGTATCATAGGAAGTGTATCAACGTGGGAAATTCTACTTGAAACATTAAGAAATCTTAAAAGAGAATAATTCACTTACTTAACTTCTAAAATGTTGTTTATTGTAATTTATAAATGGGGTTTCTAGTACAGATTTTTTAAAACAGAAATACAAAATAGTAAAAATAAGTCAACATTCTAAAAGCACGTTTAGGTGGTATTTTCATATGTTTTATTTTGTCTAGTGTATATAAATTATAGACCTTATTTGGCAAGCAAAATTGTTAGAAAATTAAGTGAGAAATGTTGGCTTTATTTAATATCTTAATGAATAAAGGCAACTGACAGATTGTCATGGTTCTCACTAATTATGGATGCTGTTGAGAGTGTGAAAATTACAATCAGATGTGGTTACCAAAAATGCCCTTGAAATATCTAGTCTAATGTATAATTTTAAAGTATGCAATATAGTCATTATAAAATTATTATTATTGATCAATCAATTAAATAGAGAAGTAGAACAATAAAAACTCCACAAACTTGGCCAGTATAATTAAGCATCATTCTTAAAGGAGGACAAAACTTTTCAAAAATATCTATTTACAGCTCTTAAATAAACCACATGTTTATTTGCAAAGTGCAAATGTTTAGGAATACCTCTTCCAAAACATTTTTCTTTTGCATTGATAATGGGATTCTTTAATAAGGACTTTGTAGAAAGTGTCCTAAGTTTTTTCATCTATAAGTCTAAGTAGTTAGGACTTCTTAAATCCTTGCCCAACCCTTAGAAATGAACATTTTGTAAACCCCTCTTACAATTGAAAAAGAAAGGAGGTAGGAGGAAAATGCCAAAAGACTGTAGATTAGCTTTTTTTTTATGATTATCAAAAGCTCTAAAGAAACTATTAATATTTTCAATTCAGCCAGGAGTTCTGAATGGCAGTATGAACGGTAGAGTGAGACAGACCACAGTTGAGTTCCAGCTTCGTCACTTGATCTGTGTGTGACCTAAGGATAACTACCTACCCTCCCCAAACCTGACTTTTCTGATCTGTGAAATTGAAGAAATGATCATAGCTTTTTAAAATGTGGGCATGCACACATTAAGTCCCAACATCCTTTGTTAGTGCATCCATTTTTCAATGCTTAATCAAAGAAGCTATAAGGTTCTATATTTATGTTATTGATATGTTTGTCCATTGGTCCCAAATTGCTGCCCTTTCTTGATTATATGCTTAAGCCACTTTTAATGGACTTAAACGGACTCTAAACTCATTTTCTGATGCATAAAGGAATTAGGTGAAAGGTAAATCAATGTGGAAAACCTGAAGACATAGCAATAGTCATGAGCTACTAATAATGACAGAAGATATAATAACTAAGTTGTCAATCTTTCCACCACTTCGCTTGCCTCCTAAATATTCTTAACTTTCTTTCATCACATTTATGAAAATAAAAGGAGTTTCCCACAGTTGTCCCCCCAAAGCAGGGCTGTCCCCAGGCCAAAATGCATATCAACTGCTAACACTCATTCAAAAATACACCCTGATTTTACACCCAATTGATTCACATTTCTGAAGTCAGATCATGGCCAGTTAGATTACGTATTTAGAACACACACACACACACACACACACACACACACACACAACCTTGAAAGAAGTAGAGATTGCTTGATCCCTGGACACAATTTCCCAACAAAGTAATGACCCAGATCACAGACATCCTGTAATCTGTGCTGAAGGCTAGTTAGGGTAAAAGAGAGGTGATCTCAGGTGTACACATTTAACACTGGGGATGTGTTCTCTGTGTAGAAATGGACCTACATACCAACATAATGGGTTAAAAAATGTTTCACATACACACAGTTAAATGTACTCCGTCTGCTGTACTGCCTGCTAAAGACATACATACATAGGAGTAGAGATAAAGAAGGGGATGGATGGGAAGGAGTTCAGGACCTGAAAGGAAATGAGGCAGTGCAATGGGAGAGAGGATCAAGGGAAAACAAATTAGGTAAGCAACAGCACCATGCATCAGAAGTCTTCTCCATCTCTAAAGTGGCAAATTTTCTCCAGGGGGCCATCAGTCAAATGATGTGAACACGGTAACTGATTCTGTTTGTAATTACCAGGTTGTCGAGGGCCTTATGTGCAGGAGCCTAAGTGCCACTCCAGGTCACAGTCCCCGTGCTTCCATGATCCTACAGAAAAATTGATTGCTGTAAATGTTTCCTGGAAGGTGTGACCCGCTTTGAGGAGAGAAGTCAGGTTTCTTTCCTTGCTGCCCTGAAGGAAAGAAACCTGTCAGGCTGTGAATAGGTTGCGTGAGAGGGAAAAGGGGCGAAAGCCTCACGGTTTCCTCCCTGAGCGGAGGGAGAGAAAGGTAACCTGGGTAGTTAGGAGAGAAACGGCACAGTGCCTCTTCAGCACCCTCGGGGTCCCTTCGCTGAGCCTCAGACTCTCCCTCTTATCCTCCCTTGACCTGCCTCTGCACTTGGACTACTTAAGCACGAGGAAGGGCTAAGGAGAAAGCCAAGTCAGCACAGTCGGATAAGGCTTCCCCTAAAATGAAAACTCAGCAGCGGGCCAGCAGTGGGTGTGCACGCGTTAATGTGTGAGTATGTGTGCGTGGAAACCGGCGGCCGCTGTTGGCCCGGCGCCGCCCCAGCCCCTCCCACCCCGCCGCACCCCACCGCACCCCACCCCCCAATCCCTATAAAAGCTGCGCTCGCGGCCGCCCTCCTCGCAGTCGGGACCGAGCCTGTCGGGAGGTGGCCCCCGGGTTCCCCACACAGTCACACTCCGCGCACTCACACACTTGGAAGCGCCTCCCCACGTCCCTCCCCTGCCCTGCTCTAGCTCTGCTCTTCTCTCTCTCACCACAAATAGTCGCCGACCGACTGCCAATCCGCTCGCTCTCCTCTCTCGCTCAACATGACTGACTGGGAAGCGGTGGCTCAGGCGGAGCAGCCCCGCTGGCGCAGGCAAAAGGAGCAGGAGGATTATTAAATAACGCGGCTCGGCGGTGCGCCTGGGAGTGGAGAGAAGGAGCCCAACAGCCGAGAAGGGGAGGGAGGGCAGAGCAGGGGGTCCAGGAAAGACACCCCCGTGCCCTGAAGACCTAAATCCCCGAGTGCCCGGGAGGAGCCTTAACGAGCGGCGTGGAGACCTCAAGGTAGTAACGCCCCTGATGCCCCCGCGCTGGAGGGTGGCGCGTCGGTTCGCCGCCGCGCTGGGGCCAGCCCCGGGCGGACGCCGGGATGACCGCCCGGCAGGTGACCGCGCCGTGCCCGGGCCGCCATGGAGCAGCCCCCGCCCAGGCCCGGGGCGCCAGCCACGGGCCCGGCGTGCGCGGCGCGGAGACCTGGCCTTGCGGGCGGGGTGGGAGGGAGGCGGACAGGCTCGCTTGCTGCTGGCCGGTGACTCCCCGCGCGCTGCGTGGCCTTTCACTCCGTGCCCTGAGCGCGCTGCTCCCCGGGGCCGCGGCCCCTGCTCCGGGGCGATGCGGAGCGTGGCCGGCCGAGGAGACAAGAGTTGGCGCAGGTTCCGGGCCGCTCCCCTCCCTCGCCGCCCGCGTCCCGCAGGTAGGGGTGGCGGGGCTGCGGGCTGCGCGGCGGGGGCGGCGGCGAAGGGGGGAGAAGGGGGGTCGGGGAGCCCGGGCTCCTTGCTGGAGCCGCAGTGCCGGAGCCGGGACCGCCTCTTGCCCCCGCCTGCTTGTCCTCGCGCTGGCTTCCTGGGTTGGAGGCGAGACCCTCCCCAGCGGCGGCAGGAACAGCGGCGACTTAGTGTGAACAAATTGCTTTGTGGTGGCGTGTCTAGGGCTCCAGGGAGAGGTGTGTGTGCGTGTGTGTGTGTTCGATCATTCGTGTGTGTTCGCACTCCTGACTAATCTTTGCGTTGGTTCACCTGAAATGAAAATCAGTCCTGAGCCGAAACCGCAGGTGGCCCCTTGGGCCCTGTTATCTTTTTTAGCTTGTTTCCTTGGGATCACGCGCGGTGCAATCTCCGGGTAGGGGTGCGCGAAGGGGTGACGGAGGGATTTGTGAATGGTGCCTCACTGCGCTTGGAGGCTGAGCCTTGCTGATGTCAAGGAGGAGGTATCCCGAGTGAGAAGAAAGGCTGTTTATGGCAAAGAGTTGTGAAATTTCTCGGGGTTTCTTTCAGTGTATCTTGATCTTCACTCTCTCCACCTCTCCTCTCTGTCATCTCTTCCTTTCTCTTTCTCAAATTTTGAAGCAATTTTGCTTTTCCCCTTCTCTCGTGGGGCCTGGAATATGACATGAAGGAAATAAAAAAACCACTTGTTTTTTGCAGGTGGAAAAATGTTGCTTAAAAGGTCTCTTGCCCTTTGATGTTTTTGTGTACTTCGTCTCCTCTTAACTCCTCAGGCCATCAATAGGATCCACAAAACAGAAAGTACCTACTTCATTTCAAAATCTTTCATTTCTAATATCTTTAGAGTTGAATACCTTCCCACTGAAATGTAACACACACCCTCCACCCCTACACCTAAGAAAGGCTATTAAAAAGGATGTACACACATTTCATTGTGAAGCTGGTTTTATTAAAAGTGTTGGGGAGGAAAAGAGAAGCAGACACCTAGCTGAATTTATATTGATTTCTACTGATTAAAAACTAGCTATTAAGAAAAGACCGAAAATACTATTTAGACTACAACACAGTTTGTTTCTGTTTCTCTTTCTGTTTGCTTTTTAACAGGAACAACTTCCAAAGACATAACTTAAAGCTTAGATAAGTCTTGGGACGGTGTCTACCAACTATGCTTTAGCAAATTTATGTTTGTTCTCAAAAGTTAGCAGCTGGTGCTTTTACAGAACCCATAACTGAGTTGTGACTGAGATGTCAGGGCAGTGTCCTTATTGTTTTAAATTGGTATATCTCTAAGGCCTGCTTGCCAAGCACAGTGTTTTTGAAACATTGAAATTCCTTATTCAACCACCCTTCAATAATTTTACAGAGAAGAAAGGGAAGTAAACTGGCCACACTATTGTCAGAATGATTTGTCTTCCTTTGATATTAATTAAGGAGCTCCTTAGTTTGATCAAAACACACCAACTGTTTTCTTTTTCTTTTTCTCTTCCCCAGTATGAAAGTAGCTTTCCTTACCAGTCTTGTTCATTTTGAAGACAGAGCAGAGTTAAGGATTTCTTTTGATTCGGTTATGTTCATGTTGGTTTAAAATACATTGGAGCAATGCGCAGTTTATATAGTACCTTAGGACGCAGACTGAGAACCCCACTGAGTGTTACATTAACTTGCCTGAATAATTGCAATGGAGAAGAAATAACAGGGACTTTTACAATATACTTGATAAACTATATTATTATAATTATTAAAAAGTCATATTTATGAATATTTTGGTTTTTTGACATTGTCAGAATCAGCATATTTTAATGATGTATGATTTATTGTATTGTATGTAAATTCACAACAAACTCATGAAGTAGAAAGTGAAAAATGTGTAATGTTTTATAGTTGTTCAACTTTTATTGCATTTATTCAACATAGCACTAATGTGCTAGGACTATCTAGCTCTCTGCCCTTCAGGAACTTCCTCTCCATGTGGGAGGAATCTGATGCTCATGCTGTAACAGAGTTAACAACTCATGACAATAAGCGATTGCATGTCTAATGAGGATTGCAGGAGTTCAGAGCATGATAACATTTCATACTGGGTTTTGTTTGAAAAGGCTTCAGGGGCAGGTAGACTTGCCCGGTCTTGATCTTAAAGAATAAATAGGATTAGTGGCTTAAGGATGAGAATGTGAGGTATAAGATGCAAGTCTCTTGGAATTGCAGAAAAGAACAAAAGATATGAGGATAGATAAGTTTGTTTTGAAATAGATTTAGATATTGCAGAGTGGTTGAACTTGTGTCAAATGCAAAGGGAGTCTATTTTTGATGTACAACGTTCTGCACACTATTCTTGGAATGAATTGTTAGTACATATTTGTGTATCTTAGAAGACAAATATTTGACTTTATATTGCCCTTTAATGAAAAAAACAAAACAAAAAAATGCTTGACATGTATTTGTAGACAATACTTACTTTAAGTATTTAAATATACAACATCACACTAAAGTGTTGAATTTGGTATTAATAATATAGCACATACAAACCTTTTTCTAGTCAGGTCTTTGAGATACATTCTTATTTTTTAAATATATTTTTATTGATTTTTTATAGAGAGGAAGGAGAGAGAGATAGAAACATTGATGTGAGAGAGAAACATTGATTGGTTGCCTCCTGCATGCCCCCTACTGGGAATCGAGCCCACAACTCAGGTTGTGCCCTGACCCGATGGAACCTCTCAGTCCATGGGGCAACGCTCAATTCACTAAGCCACACCAGGCAGGCTGAGATACATTCTTTTTTTTTTTTAAATCCTCACCCAAAAATATTTTTCAATTTGTCTTCAGATAGAGTGGGGGTGGGGGGGGGCGAGAGAGAGAAAGAGAGAGAGAGAGACATCGATGTGAAAGAGACACATCGACGCTGCCTCCTGCACGGTCCTGACCAGGGCTGGGGACCAAACCACAACTGAGGTACGTGCCCTTGACCGGAATTGAACCCGAGACTCTTTGGTCCGCTGAGCAAGACTGGCCAGGGCTGAGATATATTCTTTTTTTTTTTTAATCCTCACCCGAGGACATTTTTCCATTTTTGTTCAGGTAGAGTGGGAGGGAGAGAGAACAGAGAGAGAGAAACATCGATGTGAAGGGACACATCGAGTGGTCGACACCCGCACAACCGACCAGGGCCGGGGACAAACTGCAACCGAGGTACGTGCCCTTAGCGGGAACCGAACCCGGGTCTCTCAGGACGGCAGGCCGACGCTCTAACCGCTGAGCCAAACCGGCCAGGGCTGAGATACATTCTAAACCAACCCTCCTTAGATTGCTCTAAAGGAAAAAAACATTAGATATGTAGAAAAACAACTGTATAATAGTAAGCATTCATTGAATGCTTACTATTATAATCTTCATATAAAATGTATAACTCATTAAACAACATATTGTCTATAATATTTTTATTTTGAATATTAGAAGGCATTCACATAATAGTTAATCTATCGTTACGTTATTTTGCATGAAGGGCTTGTGGGGAACAATTTTAGAATTGTAGCAACAATTTTAAAAGTATTTTTACTATTTTCTGGTAAAGAGATTGTATTAGTAATAGAAACATGTCTTCTCTCTCAGCATTCCGAACCTAGTTATTTTTCTTTGTATATATGTTTGTTTTTATGAATACACAACAATGTTTAAAATGCATTCCTTTATTTTAAGACTACAAGGGAAACATCTGAATTGACTTTTAGCCTGTCTTTCAATATGACACCCCAGAAGTATGTTATGGTGACAGTAAAGAAATAGTACAAATATTAGGTATGACTGTCAATAAGTTACAGAATACAATTACTTTCAGGTATTGAATTAAAAGAGTTTCATCATATATATTTTTTTGTTGACAGTGAATAGATAAGAGTTATTACAAAAGTGAAAAACCTGTTAAGTCACCAATTTCATATACGTGCAGGAATGGGATGATTTCCAAGGTAGTCAGAGTACAAACCAGATTATCCGTTAATTGGTCTCCTTTGAGTTTGGTTTTGGACTATATGTTACAAGTGTATCACTTTGATAATGTAATCTCTACTGCTGTATGACTGACAGTTCAGCATGATTTCCCTACTGGACAGTGACAAAATCTGCTGGCTTTATATTGAGAACATATACTTCTATCAGCAACACTATCTTCACTATACATGAGTGTCAGCAATAAAACAAAGTCTGGGATGGAATAAGCAGGAGAAAAGATGGGGAGATTGATGAAAAACACTGTAACAACAACAAAAAAAATACTTCAGTATATAGCTTAAACTAAATATAATATAAAAATGACCAGTCTAAACTGCAGTGGATATAGTACCAAGATATTGTTACCAGTTTTTATTTTAAAATGACCACGTTGCATTTTAAGATGTTTCATGCGGGCCAAATAAAATGCCAGAAAAAAAGTGGGGGTCGAAAATGCATACTGGTTTCTGTCTATGATATCAAAATTGTTTTTTAAAGCTTTCTGTTCATATAACTGACAGATGAAGCATGTTGTTTGGCCACATTGTGGCTCTTTACGTAGACTAATTTAAA